AGAGGTGGGACCATCATCATCATCATCATCAACCCGTTTTGATCAATTCTGTCGATTGGAATTGGTAGAACAGCAAGCAGCAGATAAATGTCAACAAACAAACCTGTCATGTATGTGTGTGACGCTGAGAAATCGCTAATAGAAGTTCGGACGCTGCTTAGATTGACGAGAATACGTAAATTCCCCTATTTTGAGTTCCGTCATCAGCCAAACAGTTCAAAAGTTATAAATTTTTGAAAAAAATCGAAAAAACAAATTTTTTTTTTGATTGCCCTAATATATAAATAATTACCCTAATGACAAAATACAAAATATGGGTCTAATATGTTGCGATAAGGAACAAAACTACCAATTTTTACAAAATTCTGAGAATCACTATATCGTTTTGCTGTATACAGACAAAAAAAGTGAAAACTCTTCTAAAACAGATAGCAATAAATTAAAACTTATTTAACCCCAATTAACCTTAAAATTTCGAAAAAAAATCTTATTATTGCAGGCAACCTTTGGGGTCATTCAAACAATCGCATCGTTCAACATTTATATGAATTAAAATAAATTTAGCGAGGGTTCACTTTTACCCCTTACTCCCTTATAAAGTGTACCCCGTATTCCCCTAATATCTCATGAACTGTTGTTTAAAGACATAGTATTCTAAAACCATGCATAAAGTGCTTATGTTTTACGAAAAATAGAGCTGTGAAAAAACATTTCCTCCAAAAAGTAGGGGAAAATGGGGTAAAATTGTCCAAAACACATACCTACAAGGCTCTCCGGTCTATGGAACCACGTGCAATCGATTCCCCGGACGATTTCCCTTCGGAAAAGTCGTTTTTCATGGCCGGAATTTAGCGTGCTGTTGAGATATTGAATTTTGGGTAATTTTGGACCCATTTTTGCCCATAGTGCGGTGGTTCTACCATAGAGGTAACTACGCAATGTTTGTTTTGATTCGCTATGAAAGTTTGACAGATAAAATGAGGGGTTTTTGGTTTTTCCTATGTTTCGAGGGGTGAATCGATTAGCTTGGGACCGAAGAGAGTACCAGAGCTGAGCCAAAAAGTTGAGCACGTTATTTCGGGACCTTCTAGTCTTAGAGTTACCTCTATGGTAGTAGTGTTGCCATGTGGTACAATCCAGTAGTAGTGGTGTTGCCATGTGGTACACTGAAAAATTGCAATAGCAGGTTAGTCACCAAAGTTTTCGAGCCGCTCAGTCTGTCACTTCGTTTGTGCTATTGGTCCCAAGCAAACGATTAACGTATCCCATTCTAGTCGAAATTCTACTACTACACAATGTTTGTTTTGATTCGCTATGAAATTTTGACAGATAAAATGAGGGGTTATTGGATTTTCCTATATTTCGAGGGGTGAATCGACTAGCTTGGGACCGAAGATAGTACCAGAGCTGAGCCAAAAAGTTGAGCACGTTTCTTCGGGACCTACTAGTCTTAGAGTTACCTCTATGCTAATAGACTAGTCAAGTAGTGAGCCAATTTCAAACTGATAGTTTCGTATTGATTGTTGGTATTAGCAACAATCAATACGAAACTAACGATTTTAAATTGGCTCAAATTTCGTCGAGTAGCTGTGATTTGATCATAAGGAACCATAATCCGGAACACCTGGAACCGATTCCAAGGTAGGCTTGTGGTCTTATGATTGTTCTCTATCATTTCCGGGAATTTCACGAAAAAAATAATATGTTGTCGCAATGATGAGTAAGACATAAATTCTAGAATATATAACAAATAGGGAGGCGCCTGGGGGAAGTACCACCCAACAGAATGATATTAACAAAATTTCAATTTAATCGGCCATGGCATCTCTGAGATACATATTTTTGAAAATAATAAGTTTATCCCGGGCTTTTACGGGTTAAACTTAAACTCAGTTTGGTTTGGCCACAAAAATAAACAAGGCTGATTTCAAACGTATTTCATGTTAGAGGTCAATACAATCAATGTTTGAAATAAAAATAATGTTACGTTTATTATAAAAGTGAATATTTTTGTTTGATTTGACAACAATGTGAACAAAATTTTTTTTTTTTTATTTTAGACATTTAATTTATAAAACAAATAAATTTTGAAATTGTGGTAAGCGTGATTGCCTCTCACCCCAAAAGACCTGGGTTCAATCCCAGTCGGCGCCACCGGGATTTTCTGAGGCATAAAAACTCTGATCTCTGAAGGGAAGTAAAGCCGCTGGTCCCCGGTTCATGAGTTGATGGGTCGATAGGTAGCGTCCAGGTGTGGAAGCTGCCTCCCTGGCGTCGGTAGCATTGGTACTCAGTACGGAAAACAAATCAAAGAAAAAAAAACATATTTGGAAATTACTTTAGTATTTGAATGTGCGTTAAAGGAAAACAAAATGGATAACAATACGCCTTTTTAATTGAAACTAAACGATCGATTCAACCTCTGGTGATCAATAGGAAAACGTCAAAAAGAGTGTTGTGAGCAGAAATTTCTACCGTGAGACAGGAAACGGAACACGGAACTTTTCCTGATAAATTGATTTATCAGAGATGCTACAAAACTGGATCTACAGTTGAAAAATTTAATTCTGTAACGTTTTTGCAAGATCCTGCTGGTATTCAGGAATATTTTTGTTGAGAAAAATAGAAACTTAGAAAAGTGCCTTTGTGGTTATGATCTTCCAGATTTCTTGTGTGCGAATAGTTAAGGTACAAATCAATTCAGATCTGTGGAAAATCGTACAATAAGACAATTACCGATGGAAATTGGCAAGATATTGAAAAAAAAATGCTTGAATTTGCGTTGTGAAAAATAGTTATTCTGATGTAAACAAACGGTTTGGTTGACGTTTCTTCTCGAACTCGCGTGGCGCACTCTACGTTGGTGGTGCATTAAAAAGGCCTATTGTAAAAAGCTCTGCACGCTAACTTGAAAGTACTCATTAATGAGTAAAAAAAGACCCATTTTGAAGAAAAGTGGCTTAACTCATTAATGATTAAACAATTTTACCCATTAATGAGTATCTGTTACCCATTAATGATTAACAATTACTCATTAATGGGTAACAGATACTCATTAATGGGTACAAAATTTACTCATTTAATGAGTTAAGCCACTTTTCTCCAAAATGGGTCTTTTTCAACCATTAATGGGTACTTTCAAGTTAGCGTGTGCAGACAGGGCATCTAATTTCCCGCTATTTTTCGGTGTCGATTATGGCTGGTCTGTGGACGGTGGTGTTCTACTCCAGGATCCAAGGGGGCCCTTCGGGATGGGTATCCGGGGGTTCCAGTTGAGTGGAACCGGCGAAAATTTGTGATATTGGCGTCGTTTTGTCGCTTCGGATTCGGAATGGGTTCAGAATCCATTTCGGATTGTCGTTTTTCTTTCGAAGTCTTGCGGGAGGGTGATATGGGGATCGCCATCAGAAACGATGGAGTGACGTTGATATTGTGGGGTTCCGCCGATTTTGTCGAGCAGGCACTTAATTTGGTCACTTGTCTAGGTGGGTCCGGATCCTTTTATTAGGTATCGCTGCTTGCGGGCTGTTTTCGGATGAGTTTCGACGAATAGCTGGAGCCAAATGTAAACAAGAAGGCAGGACATGCTAAAAATCCGTAATCCAAATTCTATATTGTTGAAATTAACATGGTGTTGAATTTAATTCAAACGTAAATTTTGTTGATGAAAACATGTTTTTAATATGTTTATAGTGAAGTAATGAAATTGGGTTGTTAGCGGAATGCTTAAATAAAACAGCAAAAAAAAGGTTATCTTCCATTTAATTCCACTTAATTATTTTGGTATCCATGACAGATACGTATTTCGACTACAATGTGCAGTCTTCATCAGTGTCATCCCACTCAAGATCATATCAAAATTTAACCCCCTTAAGTACTCATCCCTAGGTAAAAAAGTCAAGATCACAGATATAAAAATGAAACTACAATGTGTTGAATCGGAACCTACCTAACTAATAAAAACCAAAGATTTAAGTAAACTAAAGGAGAAAAATCTATACAACTCTCTAATAAGGAAAATCCCAAAGGCTTGGCAGCCATCATAATGAAGTTGTTCCCCAATATGTACATAACTATAATTCTTCGTTCATAGGGCAAATAAAGCACAAAATGTTGTTTCTCCAATCTTGCCATTTGTACATAATATGATAACATCTAGCTGTTTTGAAGCAAAGCAGCGTTGGACAGCTGTTGTGCATAAGTTTCTCTTGTATGTAGTCAAACATTTCTTTCGAAATGGCGAATTTTTTAACACGAATACCAGATACATTATCTCCAGTGAACGGAAGCACATATGCATGTTGGATGATAAAATGGAGCGTGAAGAGAATTCATAGTTTCTTATCAAACCCAACATGAAATTTCACGGTTCCGTACGTCATAGTAAAAACAAATGCACAGAAAACCTCGGTGCCAAACCGCAAAAAAAAAAACTCGTGCAGAAATCGCGTGAAGCGAATCCGCTAATTAATTGGCATATATACATTAATCAGTGCAAATAACAGCTGTTGAACGGCTGCTCATCACAGTCATTACCGCTGAAACCCAGACAGAATAGAGCAATAATGCGGCATTGCACGAGTAGTGGTTCTATCCAGCGAAAAAAATTGCCCCTTTCCGTCCATCAAACGCCGCATTTATCACGATTTAATAATTCACATCAAAACTTTTTTGCCAACGTTTATTGTTTTGGCGCCAGAGCAGCTTTGTGTTTGTTACAAGAAGATTTGAACGATTTCCACGAAGACTTCGTGTCGTCTTTCATTAAGGGATTGGTGAGCTTTCAGTTGGAAAATTGTCACATTTCCGCGAAGTAAAACGGTTCTCTGCAATCATTAAGCAGAGACGAATGCGAACATTATTTCCTAAGAATTATGATCGTGATACTTTAACTGAAAAGAAAATACTAAAGGTGAAGCTCAAGGTTAAACGAGTACGAGCTGATAATTCTCACGTGTAAGCTTTAAATTAATTCCCTTTCATTTCTCTTCTCTTTCCAGAGGTAAGACCACCCTCGAAAAAAGGTACCCCCGTAGTGGTAGAGTTCAGCATATTCGTCGTCGACATCAACTCGATCAACGTGGAAGACATGGATTTCAGGTACTGGCTGGCGAACGCTCCCCTAATTGGCATCCACTTTGTTCAATTTCCGCTTCCTTCAAATGCGCTCCAGAAATAATAGTTTTCTGTCGATTAACGAAGAAAAACCTGTCCCTCTCTATTCCAACCCATGCTGCACTGACGACGCCGCCGACGACGACGACTACCCCAACGATGTGCATTCCCTTGCAGAGTAGATATGTTCGTGCACCAGAAGTGGGTCGAATCGCGGCTGGATTTGCACGACGACATCTTCGAGGATGGCGACGATCACGTTATACTTCCGCCCGAATTTTTTGACAACCTGTGGCAACCGGATCCGTACTTTCTGAATTCGAAAATTTCAGGTAAGCCAAGTTCGGTCGACGTTTGGCTTAGTATTCAACCAACCGGTGCGCTTTACTTCACTGCAAAACGGCTCTGGATACTAGGAGCCGGGTCATTTATTTCATAAAATGTCATTGTGAGACTTTCATTATTTCCGTCCAAGTTATGTGCATGTAATTTTGGTTCTTTTTTCCTAGGTGTCTTGTTATGTTTATTTTATAGGGTGTGCTTTCAATTGATTATTTTTCTATCTGTTTAGTTAATTATCCACACCTTATTATTAGATGAGCTCATGAAGGGTTTCTAGAAATATTGTATCTGTATACAAAATTGCAATGTACACTTGTATGACAAACTTTAATAACTACATTGAAAGCTCATCTTAGTCAGAGCGTGAGTCACTTTTACTCATTTGTATGGAGAAATTTCTCCATACGAATGAGTAAAATTTACTCATGCTTTGAGCTAGTTTTGCTTTCAGTGTATGCGATTGTATACTAAATTATTAGCACATTTGAAAATTATACATGTGTGACCGCCAGTGGCGTCGAGTGCGCAACGGGTGCGCAAATTTTAGGAGTGACACTGGAACTCCCGGGAAACCTCCCTTAGCTCAGTCGGCAAAGGCGCAGCCAAGACCATGCTGGAGGCGGCTGGGTTCGATTCCCGGTCCGGTCCAGGAATTTTTCAAATTTAAAAATTACTCGACTTCCCTGGTTCTGTATGATTGTACTTGCCACACAATTATACTAATGGAAAAATGGTACAGGTATCGAAAGCTCTCAATTAATTTCTGTGGAAGTGCATCTAGAACACTAAGTTGAGAGCACGCAAGAAGCTAATAAGCAATAAGCAATAAGTTTGAAATGCATATAAGTAGATAAAGAAGAAGCTTCAATTATACATGTTCCAATCATGCTTGTTATGGAGGTTACTCATGGTTACCCTCCGGTAAAGGTGAAGATAAACAAATATAGCTCCACGCATCGTGAAAAAAAAAATTGTTTGAAAACAATTACACCTACAAATGTAATATAAAAATGATCAGCGCCTCTTTAGGTTTAAAATGGTTTCCATCTATCAGGCAACAGTTTTATTTTATTTGGACAGCCTTATGCACATTATGTGAAGTTGATCACTACACTGTTCAATTTTTGTTTCTCAACAATCCATTTACATGATATTGCTATAAGATAATTTGATCAATATTTCATTAAGGTGAAAGGGAACATCATTAAATTTCAAAAAATCAAATGCAGTTTGTTTTTTTATTCGAAAACAAAATTACGTTCATGAAAACATGTTTATTGCATGCATTCTACTTGCTTACCGGAATGCAGTGAAACGATTTTCATTGACAGAATTTTGGTATTTATCGAAAAAACTGCTTTTGAATTTCAAAAAAGTAGAAGGGCTTGTGCCCATGGGCACGAACGGAAACTTGTCGTAGGACCGCTAGTGGACGGAACAAATGTGAAGAGCATTTAGTTCTTTTAATTGATCTTATCTCTTTCCGTTTTTGATTTGTAAGCGTATCAAATTTGTAGTATATTTTTCAAAGAGAAAGTTGATGAAGAGAATCAATCACTTGCACTCCTTTTCCAAGTTTGGTTACAAGATTACAACTCTGGAGAGCATTTTGTGTGGTCGTTGGGGGCCTGTGGTTCTGAATATGGACAAACAGACACAGATAAATTCCATTACTGTTATAAGGGCCGTTTTATTGTAGACGACATCCATGGCCGCTTACGCTTGGCGTGTTCAGAGTAGGTGATGTTTGACACCACCACGGCGAGCCAGACGACGGATGGTGGTTATCTCGAAGAACCTTGCGATGACGCTTGGCGCCTCATTTACCAAGACCTTTTCCTCCTTTGCCACGACCAGTCAATTGTTGTTTGTTGGGTGTAGAAGAGTTGACTAGCCTCCACCTTCCTACTGCTGCTATTGCTGACCACTGACCAAAATAAGGTGATGCCTTTTTTACTTGACTTTAAATTATGTTATGTTTATTACTTGTATTTGTATGGTTTACATGTATTACTTATCAAGTGACACAGATGCGTCTTTCAAACTTTAGTTTTTTTGAAATTTCAATTATTATTAATTACAGTTCCTAGTCCTATCAGGCCTGTTTTAAGAATGACCACCTTGGTTTGTTTTAAATTTGAAAAAGGAGACTACTTATAACTACTATTAACAACTACAACTAACCTACAACTACTATATACACCTAATCTACTATATACAAATTGCTTATCAGAATTTATCAAATTTAGTCTTAATTTCGTTAATTCGGGAATCTATTTTGGAAATTCCTGCCTCTTCGTGTAAATGTGTTATTCTAGTGTCGAAAGGACGATCAAGAACCATCCTCAGCACTCTATTCTGAGCGACCTGAATTTTGTTCCTGTGAGTCTGTGCACATGATTCCCACACAGGAGCTGCGTAGAGAATCATAGGTGTTATGATTTGTTTGTAGACAGCCAGTTTGTTCACCCTTGAGAGGCGGGATCTACGGCAAATCAGCGGATACAGACATCTAGCCAGGGCAGAACACTTGATTACGGTTTTCTCCACATGCGAGCGGAATAGGAGCTTTTCGTCAAACAACATCCCGAGATAGGTTACTTCGGCGGACCACTCAACCCTTGTGCCATCCATGATTACAGTACAAGACGGAGCCGGTGTCAGTTTGGGCGATTGCCGATGGAGGAACATGATCGCTTGTGTTTTGGAGGGATTGATTTTAATTTTCCACGTGGTGGCATAATCAGCAAAGGCGTTAAGGCATCGTTGAAGTTTGTTCGTTATTTCGCGAGGCATCCTTCCTTTGACTGCTATTGCGGTATCATCTGCGAACAGGAAAAACACGCAACCGTCACCGAGGGGAGGAATGTCGGAAGTGTAAATGCTGTAAAGCAAGGGGCCCAGCAGACTGCCTTGCGGGACTCCTGCTGGGATGGAAAACGTGTCTGAAAGACAACCATTCAACGATACCTTAAACGACCTTTGCTGGAGGTAGTTACGGGTGATTTTAACCAGATGTAATGGAAAGTTGAAGTTACAAAGCTCGTACGCAAGTCCGTCATGCCAAACATTGTCAAACGCCTAGCGACGTCTAGCAAGGCCATGGCTGTGGACTTGGATACAGCTTTGTTACTTCGGATGTTATTCATCACCCGTACTAGCTGGTGATTGGTGGAGTGCCCCTTTCTGAACCTGAACTGTTCCGGAAGGAGAATGTTGTTTTTCTCGACAAACTTAAGTAAATGGTTGAGAATTAGTTTCTCGAACAATTTGAACAGCGCTGAAAGGAGGCTGATTGGTCTGTAGCTTGAAGGCAATGTCGGATCCTTACCGGGCTTGTGGATTGGTATGATTTTTGCTACTTTCCAGATGCTTGAAAAGTAGTGCAGTTCCAAGCATCTGTTGAAGATAGCGGTTAGAAGAGACTGCACTTTCATGCTGAGTCTGTAAGTCGCGGTTTACCTGCCAGTCTATGGCCCGATTTACCCCGGTGGGGTGGCTACGAGCAGAGTACTTTCCCAAAAGACGTTCGGATTTAGATGGATTGATAAGAAAAAGAGAAAGAAATTTGAAATTTACAACGTCTATTCTATTCTGACCTTTCCCTTTTTCTTCTCGTTGTCCTCGATGTCACTCGGTGGGGCCCTTTGACGATAACTGTGGCGGTTGCTGCTTGTTCACGTCGGCTCCAGACACGGTCTGTGCCGAGCTTCTCCTACTTCACTTTTAGCTGCGTAGCAGCGGTCCTTTGCTTTTAGCGGGGGGATGAGCAAGGCTCCTTTATCGGAACCCCCGGTGACGATGGTGACGAATCACCGAACCAACTACTCGCCGTAGATGGTCCCGGTAGTCACCGCAGTGCACTACCCAGGCGAGCGCTCCTTCGGTTCGGCCTGCTTCGTCCCTCCTTGGCTCTTAACTGCGATGGCGAGACTGGCTCTACTGACTGAGCGACCGCAGTGAGGACGGTGGGTGTTCGGGGATCCTTGGTGATTAGCCGGGAAGCGAAAGATTCCTTTACGCTTAGCTTCCGGGCGATCCGACACCCTTCGCTTCTGCTCACGAACCACGGCACTTTTCGGGGAAACGACGTCACTTCCACGCGACGATGCTGGGAATTATCCCTCCAGCAGACACACGCCACGAAAACGGCACTCCAATTTCTCGTTTTCACTTAAACGGACAGGGCAAATAAAACGCGTCGAATTCCAACCGTGGCTCGTAACTTCCTCCCTTTTTTTCGTACTGGCTGACAATCACGGACAATGCAACAACCGCCATCGTTCTCCTGCAACCGCGCTCGAATGTTATGCTTCTAATGTTTTTCGCCTTCTTTTGCAGCGTGAGGTGAAACGGGACCTATATCTATTCTAGACGCGAGACAATTTAAAACGATAATTTTTACGCTACATTCTAATCCTAATAACATGCCTACACGAATACAATCTACTAAAAAAACAGGGTGGGTTATTAATTGTCCCCCTAGACGATGGTTACAAGTCTCTTCAAGATCAAGTTGAATATACCGTCAAACCCGGGAGCCTTCATGTTCTTGGTGCATTTCAGCGCTGAGCAAATCTGTTGTACTGTAATCATATCCGAGGGGGGCGACACATCAAAATCTTAAATTTAGATGCTCCAAAAATCTCACACTAGCGAATCAATCTTCGAAAAATCTTCTTACATTTCTCGCATCTACATGCATTGCGTATCATCTTTTTGCAGGAAATCTTCAGAATCGTCATCAATCTTCTTTCTATTTACTCAGCGTGCGAGCAGCTAGCCACAGCACAACACAATCTATACTGTAGCGTAGATAGAGTCGTCCCCCTCGATCATATCCACCGGATGCACGGCTCAAGGGGAGGCATTTAGGTTTTGAACGCATTGCGCAACCTGATCTTCGAGCGGACTTTGGTTTGGATAGTCGAGTACAAGCAAATGCGATGAAGCGAAATGCTCGCCGATCGTATTTGCTTTCTCCTGTGGG